AAAWWAYYAYGYAAWTTWAAAAAAGTTAAAATCAAAGAGTGGTTTAAGCTTGCAGTAAATAAGTGTACATGCATTTGGCTTGGTGACATATCGACCTGCTCCTCAGCATGCTGACAGTGTATATATCCCGCTCTGATGGATTGCAAACAGGGCTCAGTTCCAACACAACCACAGCCTAAAGCATCAGGCGTCATTTCTCTTTGTCAGACTTCATATCAACTCTGACATTTATCTGAACAGTTCAGCTAATAAGATGGGACGCTGCATCAAGTGGGTGACAATTACAGGAGAATCTATGAAAGTGGTCAAACCTAAGAAATGGAATGCTGCAGTTTGAAAGGGTTTACAGGAGTTTCTTAGATAAATATTGATYTGCAATTCTGAAATGCTCAATGTAAGCACTCCACTGAAAGTCACACAAAATCTTGAGTCATGCAATTTGTGAATTTTGCATTTTAACCTTTAATATATGAGAAAACAATGGGCAGATTTTGTTTAATAGGCTATTTTAAAGTGTCTGTGACATGTTTATCCTTTAAATACCATAAGTTAAAAAAAACATCTTTATGTTTAAGAACCTTGACATACTGCATGATTATCCATTTTTATCATAATTGGCATATTTTCCTTTAAACTTGACTCAAAGTGAAACAGGAAGTGACATCAAAGGGGAACTCTTTAAGAAAACTMGTCTTTGTTTATTGAAACAATAATATTTGAACTCTGACTCTTCTTCACTTCTCTCTGATAATGATTRAAAATAACATAAAAACACAGATTTTTCTTGTTGTCAGRTATTTTAGCAACACAGACATTCCCCTTTGTCATCACTTCCTGATACTTCACATGCAAACATCTCATACGGTTCATCTCAGTAGCAAATGATGTCATAGATTGGCTAATCTTCATGAATGTGCCATGAGTACCTTTCAGTTTAAATTCACAGGATGCGGATCAGTGCTAACAGCTGAAAAATTGTTGCTAATTATGTGAATATTGTGTAGTATTAACCTGGGTGTCATTTTGATGATGTATCAAAGCAAATGAATGCTATTTCATGACCTTTTCCCCGGCACGTACACTACTTCCACTTCATATTTGGAGTTTATTGATWAAAAGACCTCCAGATCTGCTCATAAATCCTCCCTCATTAGCTGTTTTCATTCATTCCGACTAAATCAACGCCATACCTCGGTAATTAGTCTTCCAGCACAGGCTCTCTCTCCTCTGATGAATTTGTGTTTTATTGCCATTTGCAACATCATCTGCACAGTTCCACTCAAAACACTGCAGTGGGTTTCTGGTGGTGGACCCAGCCCACTGGTCCCCAGTGGACGTGTGCTGCTTGGAGACAAACATTCATCTTCTTCACACTAACAAACCTGCAGACAGGTGTTGACCCATGTTTCACTGTTTGCGTTCCCACGCTGTTGTGTGACCTAATTGCACAGGGGGACACACTTTGTGACGCACCAACCTGCTGGTGAGGATGGATGTGTAAACCCTTCATTTTTTTTAGCTTACTGTCTGGAAATATATTAAGTCTGTCCTTAAAGTTAGGAGAAGACACTTTCAACACATGCCCAATATTTATTGCTGTTTGTTCAGGAAACTGTCTGGGCCCATTAATAATGTTGTTGTTACCATCTTGTAACTGATATAACTTGTTGTAGGAGACAATGTTGAAGCAGCTGCTCTCAGTTGTTTTAGGGAACCAAAACACAGAGGCTTAAAATGACTGAGCTGAATATTTAGATACTATTAGATACATCTCAGTTAAAGGATATTTCCTGATAAATCTATTTTTTTAATGTTGATATGTAAAATGATTTATTTATTTTGGTCTGAATGTAGTGGAAGTATTAAAAGTTAGTTTTATTCCCCTTTATTTTGTCAGTGATTAATCTAAAAACTAGCTTTCTGGAAATAGTTTTTGACCCGAAAATACTGGCTTGTTAGCAAAATGTCTCATAAACTACTGAATAGATTTTAATGAAGCACTCACAGTTGTAAAGTAACTAAGTACAAATACTTTGTTACTGTAGAATGTAGAATGTTTTGGGTATCTGTACTTTGCTTGAGCAATTATTTTTCAGCCTACTTCTACTTCTTACATTTAAAAAAGGCAAAAAGAAGAAAGTCATTACTTTTATTTCATTTTTGCTTGTTTTCTTTCCAGCTTGTGATTGTAGAAAATAAAAACTATCCATATCAACTGTGCCTCCTAGATAGAGTGAATTTAATTGTGGTTGAATGAAAAGTATAAATTTATAAAATTCTGATACCATATTAATTTGTACACACATAAATCATGTCACACTCCAGCAGGGCATAATCATTAAAATAAAAGMACTGTACTTAAGAAGTATTTMTATTTCATGAATTAAATTATTGCATTTGGCCYCAGCTCTCAGATYGATTTTCATTTTGGGGAAAATGTTTGGGCTGCCTTGATATATGAATGTAAACTAAAACTGACTAATGCATCCTAAATTTAATCTAAATTAATTATTTTAAAACAATATAGTCATTTCTGCATTGTTTTGGGGAGGTCACCTCCTAATAAATGTCATTACAGAAAATCTAACTGCTCATTTTTAAATCAATACTTTTAATACTTAAGTACAAAAAATATCAGATACTTTAAGACTTTTACTCGGGTAATATTCCTAAAGGAGACTTWAKRTTTWKCKAAAYWATTTTTTTGGTAACACACTTGTACTTTTACTCAAGTATCACTTCGTGGTACTTTAAACAACACTGCGCTTAGTAAGTAATCACTCCGTGTACACCTATAACTCTCTAACGTTTAGGTCAGTCCAGTTCAAGATGGCCACCATGAAGCAACATAAACATTGCTATAACTCTATAAAGCTAAAATGGGACATGGCTCCATGCTGAGGGTCGTCACAACTCATACTGCAACATGTCACATTTTTCACATGAGATTGTGCATAAAGTTATTTTAAAGGTTTGACCAAAACAGCAAGAACTCTATTCTCAACATAAGCTGACCTTTAACTTGTTCAAACCTTTGCAGATGAGTTTTTACCTAAAACTCAAGACATGAGCTCATCACCCCTATTTTAGTCTTTCTCCACTGGCTTTCAGTTCATTTTACAATTGATTTTAAACTTTTATTGGTGACTTTTAAAGCTCTTCCCGGTCTTGTCCCACCTTATTAAGCTGATCTAGTAGTGTACTGTGAGTATGAGTGGACCTTAAGGACTGAATACAAACATTGGAGTGATCAGGCCTTTTTAGCTGCTGCACCCTGTAACTMTAGAACCATGACTTGTGCTTCATCACCACTCTGGGTCTTTAATTCAGGCAGACTTTTAACACAGTGGCATTTGTTTTTAATGTTTGTTTTAACTTTTGTGCTGTGAAGCACTTGGTGCACACTTTGGCTGTTGGAAAGACCTCTATGGATATAAATGTTGATGGTGGACTGATCTTCTAAAATTGGGATGCTAAAAGTGGGGGACCAATAGACATTACTTTAATGAATGCTAGGCCTTTAATCATCCACGTTATTTAAGCTGCATTTTGATGATCCAACCTGAAACTCAACATTCCCAGTTTACCTCCTGCGCATAATTTTTGCTTATCTGATCAAAAGCAGTTTTCTTTCTCTCGTTGTTTGTTTGGTGTGAACAGAGATGGACGGGCACAGACTGACAGATGTGCACCCCTCTCCCCTGCGCCTACCTGATTGACTTTTAAATAAGACTTTCTGCCGCACTGATGAAACCACTCTCAGCTGCCGAGAACAGGTGGATAATTGGTTGTCGAGGGTTTCAGTGGCATCTCAGCCCATTTGTGTTCATAACTGCCACGCATTTGGGATTCGGCTCGCAGAAACAGTCATCTACCCGCAGAAGCGTGTCCTGATATCCAGCTCTGGTGCTCCACGGTCCCGTTGCAACTTCAAAGCCACAACAAGGCTTTTGGTTGAGTTTTAGCGCTCAACGCTGTCTGTCTCTCCTTTTTAACTTCGGTTCACAGTGACCATAATTAACTGCGCTGCGAACTTCAGCACAACTCCGAGGCATCCGCTTACCGGCTTTGCCGACATCTAGCTCTGTAGATCCCTGCAAACCACCAATTTGCAGTTTTCAGCATACGAGGGAACTCCTACACAACAGCTACAATGTTATCTGCTCTATGTGTGTTCTCCTTATAATGTCACGGCTGTTCTCAGCTGCGGAACGACTGAGTTCCTGTTTGCTTCCAGAAACAGAACCGGGCTTGTTTTAAAAGCACAGATGGAAGTCATGGAGGTCAGATGGTCCAGACCTTCCCTTCCTGGAAAATATGCTACCCATAAATTATTTTAAAATATAGCCATGTATTATGCGTTGGGATACTTGGTGCTAATTGTAGGCACAGAACTAAAGCTTATAGGTTTATTGGAAGTGGAACTGCAATGCTTTGGTCTGAATTCCTCCTTATTGTAACTCCACAAGCACCCCCTTTTCTGAGGTGTGTCTCAGATCAACTCATTTTGAGGCTGTATCTTTAAATCCAAACAAGGCGCTTCACACCTGCTCACATCCAGCTTCCAGAGCGGTTCATTCTAGATGGATAGAAGAGATACGACTGGACGAGTGGTGCAGAAACTTTTTTAAATAAAATAAAGGATGTCAACAAGGGAAGACTTGTGAGGTTTGACACCATCAAACCTCACATGTTGGAGCCAGAGTCTGATCCAGAGCCAGAGAAGAATGAAGACAACAAAATTGTAGTTGATTTTGGCAATCTCCTCTCAAATAATCTGATGTAATATTTCAGAAATTGTCATAGAAAATA